GTGCCAGGTACAGCTTTAAGTACATTCTGTGTGTTTTATTCAAACCTCACAGCAACCTTATGATTTGATGACTACCATTATCACCTGCATCATACCGAAGAGAAAACAGTCTCCAACACCTAGAATGGCTTAAAGCTGGGGTTACGAACCCAGGCAGTCTGACACCAGAGATGGAGTGTTCAACCACTACACTACACTGCTGTCCACATAAAGCAAAGAAAGCAGAAGGATAGATGAGGCAGGAACAAAGGACAGTGGAGCGATACAAGTTCTTTTTGAAGTAAATTGATTGAGGCAATCTAGTGTTTTGGCTAAGCAGTAATTTAAGACCAAGGGTTAAAAACTAGCTGGGTTTAAGGCTTACCTCTGCTACTAGTTATTGATTTCCTTTGGGCCTTAGCTTCCTCGTCTGTAAAATGGGAATAAAACTAACAAGTATTTCATAGGCCAGGTGTCATAGTTCACATCTGTAATCCCAGCACTTTGGGAGGCCAAGGCAGGAGGATTGTTTGAGGCCAGGAGTTTGAGACCAGCCTGGGCAACACAGTGAGACCTCATCTCTACAAAAAAAAAAAAAAAAAAAAAAATTTTTTTTCTTAATTAGCCGTAAGTGTTGGTACATGCTTGTAGTCCTAGCTACTCAGGAGGATGAGGTGAGAGGATCGCTGGAGACCAGGAGTTCAAGGCTATACAGGGTGCCATGATTGTGCAACAGCACTCTAGCCTGATTGTCAGAGTAAGATCCTGTCTCTAAAAAAGTAAATAAATAAAAATAAAATTGAAAACTAACTAGCATTTCTTAGAGTTATGATAAGGTTTACAGAAGACAATGCACATAACATGCCAAAGGCAGTGCTTAACACACCTACGTAAGTACTCAGTAAGAGCAATTAATGTCATTGGCTGTGCCACCTTCAGGATTTGCCTAGCTATACAGCTCCCCCGCCCCTTCCCAGGGAAAAGCATTTAGGAAGGAAAAAGAAGTTTGTAAATTGTCCAGAAAATGAAGAACTGAAGGCTGGGTGTGGTGGCACACACCTGTAATCTCAGCACTTTGGGAGGCCGAGGCAGGAGGATCACCTGAGGTCAGGAGTTCAAGACCAGCCTGGCCAACATAGTGAAACCCTGTCATTAAAAATAAAAATAAAAAAGAAAGAAATGCCCATCGACGATAGACTGGATAGGGAAAATCTGGCACATATACACCATGGAATATTATGCAGCCATCAAAAACGATGAGTTTGGGTCCTTTGTAGGGACATGGATGAACCTGGAAACCATCATTCACAGCAAACTGACAGAAGAGCAGAAGATCAAACACTGCATGTTCTCACTCATAGGCGGGTGTTGAACAATGAGAACACATGGACACAGGGAGGGGAGCACTACACACTGGGGTCAGTTGGGGGGAAATAGGGGAGGGACGGTGGGGGGTGGGAAGCTGGGGAGAGATAGCAAGGGGAGAAATGCCAGATGTAGGTGATGGGGAGGAAGGCAGCAAATCACACTGCCACGTGTGTTCCTATGCAACAGTTTTGCATGTTCTTCACATGTACCCCAAAACCTAAAATGCAATAAAATAAATAAATGGGAAAAAAATAAAAATAAAATAAAAATAAAAATAAAAATAAAATAAAATAAAAAGAAAGAAAGAAAAAGTATTAAAATAAATTAAAAATAAATTTAAAAAATAAAAAAGATAAAAAATAAAAAAAAATAAAATGAAGAACTGAGCAGAGTAACAGCTCTAGACATCCTTTCCCACCTCTCAGGAGTATATGTGGGCATGGGGTGGGGGGTGGTTAGTGAGCACCAGCATTATTACCATCACCTCCTTTCTCAAGGAACAGAGCCTGCCAGATTATACCTCAGCCTTTGGTTACTTATAGCCTGAGTCAGAACTCTTTTTTTTTTTTCCTTCAGTTTTGTTTTTCCATGTCCTTTTCACATCAACTCTGTGAAGTACTGGGAAACAAAGAAGTAATTTCAAGTGTGTTAAGTGTCTTCCATGTGGTGGACACAATGCTACCACTTTCCATCAGTGCCCAATATCTCACAATATTACTGGGAAGGAAGGGGTGCACTTCTCCTCGCTTTATAAATGATGCCCTGAATCCAGGGAAGGAAGCTGTCTTCTTTAATGTACATTTTTCTCTCATCCCGTCTATTCAGTACTACTCTGGCCTGAGGTCGCATCCTGCTGAGGATTTTCTGTAAACTGAACTACAGTATTCTAACATTTCACCGTCCTCAACACACCAGTCTTTGCATAATCCCAAATCCCATGAGTTGAGAGTAATTTGCCACCAGTGGAGCTGAGATCAACTTATGACTCTGCTACTTACTCGCTATAGGATTCTGTACTCGTCACTTAATCTCTCCCTCTATTTCCTCATTTCTAATATGGGCATGATGACACCTTCTACTCCATGAGGTTGTGAAAATAAAATAACTTTCTTCAAAGTGCTCTGTCAACTGGAGATGCTTGACATAGAAACATTATTTAAAACAGAACCGTCAGATAGCTTAATCTCAAAGGAGCCCCAGAAGGGCAATGGAATGCCTGTATCTCTGACTTCCTATCAAGTAGGACACCAGATCTGCCAACTATGACTTTGGGAATGTTGGGGGACAGAGAATGCAGGAATACCCTGAAGTGACTGTTGAGGAAATGATGTTTGCCATAATCATTGTGTAATCTATATCATCATGGAGATATCTGAATCCTTTATATAACATTCTTCTGAAAGCAGTATCATCTACACTATTTCATGTGGCACTGAATACTTATTTGAGGTATTGGGCACTGTTGGAAAGCGCCCAGCATTGTGTCCACCACGGAAACAACACATTTGAGATTAAATTAAAACTGTTTCACTTCCTTTGTTTCTACTTTCCCTTTCCCACAAGTGCTCCATCTGTATTTGCAAAATCCTTCCCATCTTCCCTTCTAGGCCCATCCATTACAAAGCACACCTTAGTCCAGAACCAGGCCCTAAACCTCCAGGTCAGTCTTTCTGAATCCACACAGCACTGTGCACCTGATACTGTCTTGTACTGCAGTCATTTATATACTTGTCTCAACCTCTGCCCTTCCTTCCCCACCTTCCCATTCAATTCACAAACTCTTTGAAGGGAATAAGGAAGAAAGAAAGACTGATTCCTTTGTATTTCACCAACCTAATAGTTGTTTTATGTCAGTCTCATTTTATAAAGCTTTTAATTATGGAAATTTTAATATATAATTTCATAGATATATAAACACCAATATACCCCTCACCCAGCTTAACAGTTATCGACATAAGGACAATAATCACATCTATACCTCCACTCATTCTGCCTTCTTACTTTGAATAATGTAATAGCAAATGCCAGACAGCGTATGATTTCATCCATAAACACTTCAATGTGAACGACATTTGTTGCACTTCTATGTCCCCTACAATTGGAAGATGACTTGCATTTATGTTCCCTGCTACTGGGCGCACCTCAGATTATTTCTGAGTGTGCCTATTATGTACCATATTTTGTGCTGGGCTTCAGAGGTTCTGTCTGAGCTGCAGAGGCACACCAGTACCAAGCCAAAATATTCCCAACCAATAATTGCTATGGTTCCAGGGAATGAGCTCCGAGTGCACGTGGGAGCCCAGGAGCAGGGCCCTGAATTGCACTAATTGAGCGGAATCGGGTTTTCTCATCTCATGGTGACCCTGAGTTCGAAGTCACCACGAGACTAGGGGTCTCCAGCAGGAGGCGCTGCAAAGAGACAGGGTGGCGTGGGGCCCCCTGGGTTCAGCTTCTCCTGAGGGAGCCTGGAAAGGCGGCCATCGCCGGCTGCGGGTGCAAACCAAGTAGCAACTCCGTTTAATAGGTGAGCGGGACGCCGAGTGTCAGGGCCTAAGAGGAGCCCCCGGATTCAGGTTCCAGGCAGAGGTACAGGGGTGCAGGGCAGGTCTGGCACCTGCTCCCCAGGACTTCTGGACGCTGCGCGTTGACCTGGTTGCCACAGGTTCCTGTCCCAACTGCCGCTCTTCCTGATAGAATATATCTCGGAGCAAGGCACTGGACAGAACGAGGAAACACCTGTTTCCAACAAGAAACGAGGTAGGGGGGAAGCCCCCACCAGGCTTCCAATGGCCTCTCATTGAGCTTGCTCTCGAGAGCCTTGTAAAAGCGCGCCCAGAAAGCCAGCGGAGATCATTTTTCAAAAAGATCGCTTTCTATTTCTTACTCCCTCCTCCTTTTCCTAAGCCTAAGCTGTAACGTCTCTTTCTTTAAAAACAAAACAAAACAAAAAAAGGGGGTTTCCCGCTCCTCTCAGACCCTCGTCTTGGTGTCTACAAGGACCACCACCCCCAACCCCAAATTTTGCAACTGCATTGGCTTCCGGGTTTTGCATTTCCTCAGTATCCCGCTAACCTATACAGGTGGGAATTAGGACTTGGGGGCCGTGGAACAAAGAAACCAGAGATTCCCTGTCCCGGGTCAGACGCCCCTTCCGCAGCCTCCGACCAACTGGGGAACAAGAGGAGATCAGGAGCATGTGAACCCCCCAACTCCGGTCTCACAGCACTTTCCAAAGGCTGGCATAGCAACCCGAGGACGCGTGGGAGGTGGGGACAGCCCCCGGGCAGCAGACAGACAGACCCCCACGGAACAGGCCTTGAGTGGCCGTGCGCGCCAGCGGCCTCCACGCACTGGGCTCTGTTATTTCATCAGCAGTTTCAGAAGAACCTGCCAAAAGCAGTTATGCCTCACTGCAATGTGTAGCTTTTTCCTGCCATTTTTTCATAATAAAAGAGGGAGTGAAGCTCGCTCGCTCTCTCCCTCCACCCCCCTCTCCCAAAAAGAGCCAAATGGATGCAAGAAGGGAAAAAAAAAACCCACACACCAATCTCCGAGGGGATGCCAATGAGGTGTGGCTTGTATTTAAATATCCAATATGTCAATGTAAGGGGAGTGGGTATGTATATAAAGTGCCGTTTGCATCTGATAGCTCGAGGAAGCCAGCGATGAGAGGCCGGAGGAGATGGATGCGGAGGGGAAAAGGCACTTTGACTGAGAGCAAGGTCAGAAGCGCGCTGCCTCACGCTCCCCGCCGCTGAGAAGTTCCTTGGACGCGAACAGACGTCGACTGCAGCTCAGCAGAGCGCAGAGAGAGCGAGCTAGCGAGGGACCGCCGCTGAACCACCCGCGCCTGCCGCGGGGAGAGGCAGTTCGCGCCCCGTGGCCCCGGCTCGAACCCCGAGCGCCCAGCACAACCCGCGCCGCAATCGGCCCAGCCATGGCAGAGGTGGGGGGCGTCTTGGCCTCCTTGGACTGGGATCTACACGGCTTCTCCTCGTCTCTGGGGAACGTGCCCTTAGCTGACTCCCCAGGTTTCCTGAATGAGCGCCTGGGCCAGATCGAGGGGAAGCTGCAGCGTGGCTCACCCACAGACTTCGCCCACCTGAAGGGGATCCTGCGGCGCCGCCAGCTCTACTGCCGCACCGGCTTCCACCTGGAGATCTTCCCCAACGGCACTGTGCACGGCACCCGCCTCGACCACAGCCGCTTTGGTGAGGACGCGGTCGGGGGGACGGGAGGCGGGTGGACGGCGGCGCGCTAGGGAGCCGACAGCTCCGGGCTCCAGCGTAGGGCCCGCGGACCGCCCACCGGCTTGGTGTTGTCCGGGCCAGTCGAGGCAAGACACGACGGAGCGGGCGTGGGCCGCTCGACATCAGGGGGCCCTGCACCCTCGGACACTCTGGAGGGGGCAGGGGCGCCTTGCGGTGAGGCCTCTCGTTTCGCTGCTCCACCATCACTCCCCGGGGAGCAAGGGGCTTGTTTTGGGAGTTGGACTTTAAGCCTTGGACGAAAGCAGGTGGAGCTGAGAGAGGGGTGGGAGCTCTCGCCTTGGAGGCCGGGACCGTGGCTGCTGCGCAGGCCGAGCCTCGAGGGCAGCAGGGCTGTGGCAGCTGATTTCCTGGAACCGGATCCTGCATGGGCCATGGGTATATGAGGCGGTCGGCCCGCACTCAAATCGCTTTTGGCCCATGGGTACCGGCCAGCTGTGGCATCTGCCTGCCTCGGGGTCGCTCTGTCCAGGGTAGGAGCCAATCCAGGCAGCCTGGCACGAATTGGGAATCTGGGAAAACCTCGCGGTGTCCACCGTGTAAGGGCACAAGTCCTGGGGTAGCTTTTGCCGGAAACTACCTCTGGACTCCTTGCCTCAGTGAGGAAACCGTCCTGGGCCCACTCCCAGTCCCAGAAACAGTTGTCTCTTGGGCCCAAAACAGTAAACGTTCAACCTCCACCCAGGATTGTCTCTGCCTGCCTGCCTCTATACAGACTGTTCAACACAGCTGTCTGTCTCACATATAAAACAAATTACACAATTAATATAAGCCTTGATCTATGACGAAGATCATTAGGTTTCTAAGTAGATGTGTTCACTCCTCAATAATTTGCCATTTTTATTTTCAATTTCCAATTCTCTACTGAGTCATCATGAGAGTTCTGTGACAGCTATCTTTGCCCCTCCCCATCTTCCAATGTCCTCTGCTTCCTCCCAAGGACCCTATAATCCAAGAAAGACACCTTTTCCCCCAAGCCAGTAAGATATTCTGCCTACACTCAAGCATGACACCCTTCCCTTCGTTCTCCCACTCTCCTTCTTGCCAACATACCCCTGCTACCCCCTCAAACCTCTTCATCCTCCCATTCTCCATGCCTCGCTAGAGCTGCATCTGGAGTGCACAGCAAAAAGGGGGACATAGGGGCCAGTTGCTGGGTAAGGCCAAGCCTAGCAAACAGCTTAGGGGCAGAATTGGTCTTCCCTGCTGGGAACAGGCAGGAACCCTAATGAGGTCTATGGCATCTTGGAAAAATGCACTCAAACAGAGCTAGAGTAGCATAGGTTGGGAGGGGTAATGGAGGGGCGCATGTGTCTGTATAAACTTGCAGCAGGTCCTCAAAAGGGTGATAAGGTGAAGTGGGAGGAGACAGAGTGTTAACTTGGCTCCTTTCCCTTTCGTTGCTTGTGATTTTGCAGTCCCCTTTTGTTCCTCTTCATAAGGAATGGGACTCCCACCCTGGCCTCAAAGGCTTCCTGAAATGGCCTAAAGATACCGGGGTAACTCATTGCTGATACATAACCAAAGAAAGTCATGAAATGATGGAAAAATGTGGGGCGGGGGCAGCAAAGGTAGAGAAATTATGAGCACAGCTCCCAGTAGCTCCAAATATTTTTCTGATTGTGTGCCTAAGCTGAGTCCTGTAACCTACAAGGTCAACATAAATCAGTAATGGGCTCTTGGGATAAGTGGTCTTTAATTACCTCCCTAAAGACACATCTTGATTTCTTTTCATCTCCCAGGTCTGCTAAGGGTGTTAAGTTTAGGGAGAAATCACAGGAAATAAGATTGGCAGGAGGAAGGGACATTTTCATTGCTGCTTAACCGACAGCTTCATTTTTGGTTTTGCCTTTAAAAAAGAAAAAACACTGCCCAAAAGCACTTCTGCATCACCTTTTCCCTTTCCTCCTTCCCCAACTTCCTGGCAGTTTCCTGTAAAGAAAATGATAACTGGTCAAAGCTGTCTCTTTGTAACCTCCCCTGCCAACTTTAAAACACATACTCTTTCTCAGTTTAGCTTTTGGCACAGAAAGAGGTGGCGTTCGAGTTGCTAACTCTCTCCTCCCTCCACATTTGAGTTAATCAGCCAGGGTATTCAATAAATTGAAACTTTAACATTCCATAAGTGCTTTCGCAGTCAACATTCCAGCAGGGTAAAGTAGGCCAGACTTAAGATATAAAATATTATAGATTTCTGCTAGGGGGGAGGAGGTAGTCTCCAAAAGCCATGTGAAGTAAATAGCTATTTGTTGTAATTGGAGAGCAGGGCCCCCAAGGATTACCCTGGAATCCATGTGTTCAGAACAAGTCAGGCTAAGCCCAAGAGCAGTCTCGACTCCAAATAATAACCTGTTGGCACAGCATATGCTCTCCGCTCTCCATCTGCAATCAGTAGCCAGGAGTATTTCAATCCCCGCCTAGCTGGTAGCATTTATATGAAGTTCACAAGGATCCTGACATTCCGAGGGGCATCTGTGGTCTGGCAGAGCAGAGCTTGGGAGCCAAACTGAAAGAGAGTCCTCCCACCAGGTGGGACGGAGAAGGCTCATGCAGCTGCTTCAGTCCTTGAGTGATCTGGTTCTCGTTTGGCAAGATGCCAAAGCAGCACTGTCTCGGCCCCAAAGGTCTGAAAGGATAGCTGAAGGAGTTCAGGCAAGTTTTGGACCTAGATTAAATGACACACTAGACAGTCATCTAGCTAGGTTCTGAAGCAGTGGGGCTTCAGAACAGATCAGTTTTGACTGAGAGCCTGGGGAGAGAGGTATAAGAAGAGAAGAGTCTGGAAATTGTCAAGAAAAGGGCAGAGCCTGATGTGGGTGGGTCAAGATGAGACAGAGTAGAGAGAGATCCTGGGCCTTGAAGGGGTAAGAGTACTGAGGACAAACTTTGTCTACTTAATACTTCACCTCAACACTTTGCTGTTAACACCCCTGTCCAGCTGTAGCTGGGAAAATATGAAAATGGCTTATTTTCTCTCCCCCTTCATGTTGGCTGGGATTCAGGAGAAGGTTTAGGAATATCTCTTCCATCATCATGTGCCACTGGGTTCCCACAGTTTGAATTCAGCTAATAGGAAAGTTGGCGAGGGAAAATGATGGCCAAAGACAGCTGGGCAGGGATAATTCCAGCTGTCAGAGACCCCTGTTACTGGACACAACCCAAGTGACTTCCTGTATGATCTGTCCTTTGGCATCAGGGTTAACAGAGAGTTGGAGAAAAACTGTAGTGACTCAAATGGCCACACCTCTTGGGTTTCATGATTTGTTCTCACACTATGTCTTGGGCAGTGAGATCACACGCTGCGCTCTGCTACTTAATGAGCTCAGGGTTGTCAGAGACATGAGATACTTACAGAATGAGGAAACTAACTCTTGAAGCTCAGGAGTAACCTGCCTGAGCAAAGCAAAGAAGTAAAGGCTCCCACGTGTTAGTGTTCCTCAGAGTTTAGGACCCAGAACTGAATCATGACCTGGTTTCTAGTTTCCTCACCATACTGGGCACTCTCCTTTGAACATGCTCTGTTTTTCCATTTCCTTTTCTAAGCACAGTAGAACTAAACACACTACTCTCAGTGTGGTCTAACCATGACAGAGCAGAGTGGGACAATCCCTCCTCCCTTCTGCTAGTTACTAGACATGTATCAGTGAAGCCTTAGAGCATACTAGCTTTCTTTCTGTTTTTTTTCCACTAGCTTTCTAATTTTTAATTTTATATGACCAATTTTACATTAGCTTTTTAATAAGCCTGCTAATCACCCATAATACTGAGTTTGCCTGTTCAATCAAGTCTCTTAGCCATTGTTGTGTTTTACTAAGCCACATCCCCCCATTGCAGAGATGGGTAGACTTGCATGTAATTAAAATGCACAGCAACACAAAATAACAGTACATATTTTCAAGAAAGTATACATGATTGCCTGAAGTGGAGAGGCAGATGGGAGCAGGGTATGAAGAGGAAAAGAGAGAAAGAAATAGATAATTATAAAGACCTTGCACAGACCAACTATGTTAATAGGCCATGAACTAAGTAGTACAGTTAAATCAACTGTCTGCACTTGAGGGTCACACTCCCCCAACAAAACCCCAAACACAAAACACTTTGGGAAATTTGGGGGCCCAAAGTGCAGGAGTTCACATTGATTGTAATTAAGCATAGTTTATTGGAGCATGCCCATTTTTCCATCCTCTTGAAATCTCTTTGGATATTGCTTATATCATCCCTCTCTAGAAGCTGTATGTCTTCTAGAACTAAGATAAGCAGTCCTCATATGTTCTCTTACAAGTCATTTATTGAAATATCAAAAAGAGCAGAACCGATTGCAAAACCTGGTGCAGTGCAGCTGAAGATTTGGGTGCATTAAATCAATGTCTGATTAACCCTTACTTGGCACTGGGTATTTTCTTTTCCCGTCCTACCATCTTGTTTCAATCTCATTTCCCAAGACTCCTTTCTTTGTACAGTAAGATATTTGATAACAACCAGACTGAGAATAAATCTTGGAGGATTTCAATGTTAGAGGCCAAAGGCCAAACCATGAGTGTTATATAGAATTGCAGCAGAAGAACCTTACCTCCTTCCAATAGATCTGGGTGGTTTGTGGAAGCACATGCCCCCAAAGCTGCCACACCTGAACAGCAGCCCACCAGCTTGAGTCACTGGGGTTCCTCAGGAGACTTCCCAGTAGAGTTTTTAACTTGATTTTAAAATTAGCCACTTAACACTCTTGATCTTGGGAAATCAGTTCTACTCCCTATGTAGATTACGTAGATTATTATTGCCCTTAAGAATTGCATTTTTGGGCCAAGCATAGTGGTGCACACCTGTAATCCCAACACTTCGGGAGGCCAAGGTGCGCAGGTTGCTTGAGCCCAGGAGTTTGAGACCAGCCTTAGCAACATGGTGAAACCATGTCTCTAAAAAATAAAAAATTAGCTGGGTATGGTGATGTGTGCATGTAGTCCCAGCTACTAGGGAGGCTCAGGTGGGAGGACCACCTGAGCCTGGGGAGTTTGAGGCTGCAGTGAGCCATGATCACACCACTGCATTCCAACCTGGGTGACAAAGCGAGATCCTGTCTAAAAAAAAACAAAAAAGAATTGCGATTTTGGATAAGAAAGACAATTAGATATGAGTTCATTTCAGACCTTTAGATGACAAACAATCAAGTTTTTAGTCTGTATGTTGAAAAATATGGTTAGAGACAGGAATATCAAAGAAGAATCTAGTTGACTACTATGTTTGTATCTAGATAATAGACATACTATCTTGGGACAAAATTGTAGTCTTTAGTATCTCCAAGATTTTAGTTCTGGGTCCTTTTTCCCACTTAGGACTGCTGCTGGGTAAATGAAAGCATTTTCAAATCATCACCTCTAACATTGTCAGCTAGAAGGACATTTCTGGATTTCTTCTCTTTGGCCTTAAAAAGTTGTAACATCTGAAATCAGTATTGAGTCCAATACCACCTGCCAACTCTTTGCTGTGGATAAACTTAAAATTCTCGAGAGAGGAGAGAATGATAGGCTTGTCAGCTTGGTGCTGTACTAACAGAGAACACTTTTTAGGAGAAAGCTCTCATGTGGCCAAGTTTTGACTCCTGCCATAAGCAGGGGGAACAAACAGTGAGTGGCCTGTGTGGCCTTTGTTAGAGTCAGCTACAGGCAGTTGACAGCCTCATGTGGCTTTAAGGACATGGGAGCCGACAGGGCGCAAAACAAGTTGAGCCTAGAGGACAGCAAGGTAATGTGTGCTCTAAGGAAGACCGAGGTGACTGGGAAAGATACAGAAACCTGGCCTCATTCTTGCATTTAGAAAACTGACTTCCTATTTCTTGAATTTGACAGCAATGGCACCCTGCAATTATGGAGCTTTTGTAGCCAAAGCCTCCTTCTCATGGTCTCTTCCTCATAATATACCTAAGAGTGTTGAGTAGAAGCAGAGACGGTTTCCCCCATTTTACGTATGGAAAAACTGAGGCCCAAAGAGGCTAAGTACCTTCTCTAAGGTTCCATTCCTGCCGCAAAAGATGGTTCCATCAGGCACTTTATCAAAGGCACACAGGGCTGGCCTCCAGTTGGGGACAAATGACTGGTATCTCATGTCACCTGAACAGCTTTCTCTTAGTCTGATGTCAGTAACAGGAATTGTGTTCACTTTTCGCCCTAGGAATCCTGGAGTTTATCAGCCTGGCTGTGGGGCTCATCAGCATCCGGGGAGTGGACTCTGGCCTGTACCTAGGAATGAACGAGCGAGGAGAACTCTATGGGTCGGTAAGTTTAAAGTTTTTTTTTTTTTTATTCAGAGGTTATTACAACCAGTGCTTGGACAATGTAAAGCAAAAGTATAAAAATGTTTATTTAGCACTTTAAAGCACTTTTTTAGCTGTAAAGGAGTAGTGCCTTCTAGTTACTTCTTGGCTGCCCAGGGTCTTGCTGCATAAGACCTTCACTCATTTTGGCCTCTACAAAAACATAAGCTTTTTGTTTCCTTTTTGTTTTTTTTTTTGTTTGTTTGTTTTGAGATGAAGTCTCACTCTGTTGCCTAGGCTGGAGTGCAATGGCGCATTCTTGGCTCACTGCAACCTCCACAGGTTCAAATGATTCTCTTGCCTCAATCTCCCAAGTAGTTGTAACTACAGGCATGCAACATCACACCCAGCTAATTTTTTGTATTTTTAGTAGAGACCAGCTTTCACCATGTTGGCCAGGCTGGCCTCGAACTCCTGACCTGCCTTGGCCTCCAGACTAGGTGATCTGCCTGCCTTGGCCTCCCAAAGTGCTGGGATTACAGGCATGATCCACCGCATCTGGCCCCAAAACATAAGCTTTTCTTTATTTTTTTTCTCTTTTTTTTTTTTCTAATCGTCATAAAGTCTGCAAACAGAAGGAAAAACAGTTTTTATTTAAATACATACAATTTTTTTTTTTTTTGAGATGGACTCTGGCTCTGTCATCCAGGCTGGAGTGCAATGGTTCGATCGCGGCTCACTGCAAGCTCTGCCTCCCGGGTTCAAGCAATTCTCCTGCCTCAGCCTCCAGACTAGCTAGGACTACAGGCGCCTGCCACCATACCTGGCTAACTTTTGCATTTTTAGTAGAGACAGGGTTTCACCATATTGGCCAGGCTGGTCTCGAACTCTTGACTTTGTGATCCATCCACCTTGGCCTCTCAAAATGCTGGGATTACAGGCATGAGCCACCGCGCCCAGCAGGCTTTTCTATGATACATTTGCTTTTGCCTTTTTCATTGGAAGGCCAGCTAGTCTGACGATAACAGTAATCTGTGCTGGTTTGGTAGTACATGGTCGGAGTTTGGGGCATTAACCCTCCAGAGGAATACATCTGAATTTGAGTGTATACCCAGAGGAGTAGCAGTCTGGCAGGCACAAAAATAGTCAGTGGAAGAGCTGGCTTTCAAATTGAGGATTCTGAGGTTCACAACACAGCCCCTAATTTCCAGACTGCTTCTGCTCAGTCCTAAAAGCCAAATGAAACAAACAAATGAAGAATGAGGGTTCCAGGGTCTGGTGACAGCCTTAAGCCCTCAGCTAGGACTAGGCTAGCTGCAGTGCATTTTCTGTATCCTGGAAGCTAGCCTAGCACCGGGGAATGGTGAATGATTTGCTGGCCTTAACCCTTCCATGGGATCCCAACTCCTGGCTCTGGCTATTGAGTCACATAGCATACTTTCTGGCTGCCTGCACCCCATGAAATCAGAACACATTTTTCCGTGACACCTAAGAGATAGGCCTGTCCCCAGCACTCAATATCGGCAACCCCAGCAAGTAGTATGGCGGTTGGATCAAGTGTGAGAAGGGACAGAGGCAAGAGACCCAGGAACTGCCAGCCTGAAGTAGCCAGATTGGAAGAGCTTTTCAAGGAGATCTTTTCTGAGCTTTCCAACTGACAGGCCTGAGGCCCTTCATTAGGAGAGATCACAGCTCACCTCCCATGGAGCTTTATATAGATTTGAGGCCTTTGCCTGTCAGTTGACATGGTTTGCTGTAATCTCAATGGATTTGAACATCATTAGCTATAAGTAGGGAGAAAGCTCAGTGGGTGTCAGCGGGGCATTGGGAGGCTATAGCAGTAATTCTCAGGCTCAAAAAGCCAGGTGATGCCATCTCCTCCAATCTCCTCCCTTCAGGAAAGATTTCAACTAAAACATTTTGTGTAGCTTATGAAAGAGAATGAAGGAGATACAGACAAGAGTGTTTTGTCCTATTTGGAAGAAAGATACCTTCAGTAATACAGAGAAATAGAACTGGAATTTTCTAACATCAATGTGCTGTTGCTATTTCAGGATTTCTCCACTAGCAAGCTGGGATAGGATAAATAGTCATATCATGGGTTCTGCTTTATTTTCTCACCCTCACAGAAGAAACTCACACGTGAATGTGTTTTCCGGGAACAGTTTGAAGAAAACTGGTACAACACCTATGCCTCAACCTTGTACAAACATTTGGACTCGGAGAGACAGTATTACGTGGCCCTGAATAAAGACGGCTCACCCCGGGAGGGATACAGGACTAAACGACACCAGAAATTCACTCACTTTTTACCCAGGCCTGTAGATCCTTCTAAGTTGCCCTCCATGTCCAGAGACCTCTTTCAGTATAGGTAACGAACCTTTTGTGTGCCCTCTGTGACCCATGTACTCTGGGGCCACGGTTGTCTCTGCAAGCACTATACTCATAGCTTTTCAATCCTTCCTTCCTATCGTTTTAGATAACAGAAAAGCACTTACTGTTGAACTCAACCCAGCTGTTCCCTTGTTGTTCAAAGTGTATATCAAGGTTGGGTTATTTTGGGGAGGGATGGGGGGGCTGGGCTCGAGGGAATCTTGTATATACTTTTTTCTTTACTCATGTTCTTTCCCCTGAGGTAGCATAACAAAGAATGGGAGCCCTTGCCAAGGGCCAGAGGGGTCTTATCCCACAATTTACTCAAATACCTTGACAACAGGTATAAATGAAAGACCAAGGAATCTGCCACAGATGCTACCTACAGAGTTTTGGAAAAGTCTCTTTAAGAAAATCCTTGAGGCTACAGCCTTGCTGCAAGCCTTCCCTGCATTGGCTATGCAGATTTCTCATCTGTCCTGACATACAGTTTTCCTGCCATTGGAAGTGGGAGATGGGGTAGGTTGTAAGAAAATGATATTAAAATGTAAGCATGGATACTGTGCATAAGGACAAATTATTTATAAAATGTATATGCTATTTATTTTATATATTTATTTATTTCAAAATAATTTTATTTTTAATGAGAGATGCTATAGCTGGATTTTCATCAGAAAGAATAAGGTCCTACTGAAACAGGATAAAATGAATTATTAAAGGCTTTTACTGGCAATAAAATTTGTCTTTATATTGTAAGACTCTGTCTAATTCTATTGATTTGTACATTTAATAGGATTAGAAGGTTGGCCAGCTTCTTTCTCTCCAACTCATTAGAATTTTCTGATGTTGGCATCACACTGCCTATGCTGGATGTCTCCATCAGCCATTATGTATGCTAGCATTATCTAGAGGCCTATGTGAAGTCCTAGTGGTCCTTTCCAGTTCTATGACTTTAAACTTACAGGTGAATCGAAGCTTCAGGAAGGCCTAGACCAACAGCTATTACTGAAGCTCCCATTTGTGCTTAGGACTCTGCATAGAGAAACTCTCCTTTGGGACTTGGTTAGGGTCCAAAGTCCTAAAGTCCAAACACTAATTGAGGGTTTCTTACTTCAGATATGAAGATGAAGGGATTCGAAATAAACATGAATCAGCTGATGCAGTGGCTTATACCTATAATCTGAGCACTTTGGGAGGCCAAGGCGGGTGGATCACTTGAGGCCAGGAGTTCAAGAACGGCCTGGCCAACATGGTGAAACACTTTCTCTACTAAAAATACAAAAATTAGCCGGGCATAGTGGCAGGTGCCTGTAATCCCAGCTACTCGGGAGGCTGAGGCAGGAGAATCGCTTGAACACGGGAGGCAGAGGTTGCAGTGAGCCAAGATCACACCATTGCACTCCAGCCTGGGTGACAGAGTGTTTTTATCTTCAAAAAATAAAATAAATAAATAAACACGAATCAACAGAGAGACTGATTTTTTTGACTCAGTCAACTTCCATTCTGGAGATTTCCCCCTTCTCTTTACCCCTATCCTTACCTCCTGCCAGTGCTTCTCCTAGGGAATTTGGGAAGCTATAAACACATTCATCTACTGCAGTAGTGCTTAGTGTATTCTATATGGTCTCTTGACCAGCAGCATCACCTAGAAACTTGTTGGACATGCAAATTATCAGAAATTCTGGGGGCAAGGCCCAGCAGTCTACATGTTAACAACCCTTGCAGGGGGATTCTTGTGCATACTAAAGTTTGGGAATTACTGCCCTAAAGGAATGGTTTTTTAAAAAATTATTTTTGCATCTGAATGGTTTATAAATAAAGTTTTAGGGTAACTTCAGTCCAGAAAACAAAAGTAGAGTGGTTCTAGTTGAAGTAGGGATGGCATTTCTCAGAGCTCCCTCTTCCCCAGAGCAGCCCCTGAGGTATCTTAGTTAAAAATCCCTAGCCTTGCTGCTCTGCTTATAGAGTAACCATTCTTTATTCCTTTACCTTTCTAATAAACTTGTTTTCATTTAAAAAAAAATTTCTAGTCCTTTACTGATATTTACCAAGGTAGGAGAATAGGGCTATTTGCATTTTTATAGTGAGTGTTGTCAGGAGACAGCAACCAAAGGAATAAAAGTCCCACTGAGTACACAGGCACTATGAAGTCCTGGTGGGAGAGGTTTTTGGGTTTAAGATAGTTCTTCCTAGTACTCCTGAATCATATTATGTAAGCATCCACTATTTTTCTAATTGTATGTGTGAAACAAATAGCTTAGGTATCAGCTAACTTAAAAAACAAAGCCCAAAGGTCTATAAAGCTCACCCAAATCTGAGCACCAAACAGAGAAGCTGCACATACATGAAATAGCAAATAAGACTGTATAATAAAAAGTGCTAAATTGTGTGGCCTGTGTGATCATAGACTGGAATGCTCATCAGTGGAACTACTAAGGTGGAGCTCTGAGTGGCCTAGTGTGATTAGGGTGAGTTTCATGAAAGAGGCAATACCTGCTGTGAAGAACAAACAAGATTTGATGAGGAAAAGAGGCTGGGTGATCGTGATGTTCATGTTGGGCTCTAGGGAAAAGACACCACCTTTAGTGGTCTCTGGCAGAAGAGTAAAACTCAGCTATGTGACATTTTGTTAAATCCCTTTTTTTTTTGAGACACCATTGCTCTCTATCGCCCAGGTTGGAGTGCAGTGGCACGATCTCAGCTCACTGCAACCTCCGCCTCCCAGGTTCAAGCAATTCTCCTGCCTCAGCCTCCCCAGTAGCTGGGATTAGAGGTGTGCACCACCACACCCAGCTAATTTTTGTTTTGTTGATAGAGACGGGTTTCACCATGTTGGCCAGGCTGGTCTTGAACTCCTGACCTCAGCCTCCCATAGTATTGAGATTACAGGTGTGAGCAACCGCACCAGCCTAAATCACATTTTTAATAGGAAGCACGCCTTTATTTTAAAACAAATCGTACTTATCTATGTAGAGATGTTCAGCTACCTAGAGCTTTTGAAACACAGCCACAACTTCTGAGGACTTGCAAGATACATGAGCTCTGCTATAACTGCCAGGGTTACTCTAGCTGGGCATTTGGTATAAGCCTGGCAAGACCACAAGCACCATGCTGCAGGGCAGAATTTGCAAGAAAAATGACACTGTAACGAAAACGGGAAAGACTTCAAATCCTAGAGTCAGGCCTTACTTTTTCCTCTAGGTGGAAGTAGAGAGGTGATGACTTGGAAAATGCTGTAGGGTCCCAGGACACAGGAGGAGCTCACTCTTTGTGTTCAACTTTGAGGGTTAACAATGAATGGGGCATGTGGATAGAAAATGGCATTGAGCAACTGTTCCCATTTTTTTTTCCAAGACAGACTCATGCTCTGTCACCCAGGCTGCAGTGCAGTGGCACAATCTCAGCTCACTGCAACCTCTGCCTCCCAGGTTCCAGCGATTCTTCTGCCTCAGCCTCCTGAGTAGCTGGGACTACTGGCACATGCCACCATGACTGACTAATTTTTGTATTTTTAGTAGAGATGGGGTTTCACCATGTTAGCCTGGATGGCCTCGAACTCCTGATTTTGTGATCCGCCCGTCTCAGCCTCCCAAAGGGCTGGGATTACAGGCATGAGCCACTGCACCTGGCTACTGTTCCCATTTTCAAAAAGAGGGGAAAGATAAACTCTGGAAATGGGAAATGTGAGATGGATGACCTAGTACCACTAGATTGATCAACAGCTGACTGACACCATATCCTCAAAGTGCTAGACTAATGGATTTCATGCCTACCTAAAGGGAATTATAAAATAGTAAGCTTTGGAGCTCTGGTTTGAGATAAAAACATGTGCAATGACCATTTCTTATTCATGTTTGCATCCCTTCCCAGAAATAGATGCCTTCTTTAGTGAATATCTATCTATCTATCTATGATATAAATGCTGGGCTAGAGAGAACAGATGTGTTATAGAACAGAATCATCTGAAATGTTAAGTTCTTAGGACACTTAAATAGACACAATGACAAACTAGAATATGTCTCAGGAAAGAGAGTTCCCTGTTACTAAAAGTGTTTCAGCAGATGCTAAGCAACCACTTGACAAGGACATTGTATCATTTAGTGAGGACAGGGTGAATACTAGATAAAAATGGCAGAATGTAGCATTAGTTTACTAACAATATTCTGTGGGACCCTCAGAATTTTCCTGAGCACCAATAGTGTTCCAAGAAAGAATATATCAGACCTAAAAGTGCTATCCAACTACTATCCCAGGCCAAGAAAGACACTGTAGACCAGAGGTTCTAAACTTGGGAGTCACAGGGTTATTAAAGGTCTATAGAAAGTCTAAACTCCCTGGACCAAACTCCCCAGAATAATATGCAAAATTTTACATAGATGTACATTTGGCATTTCACTGATCCTGAAAAGGCCACACAAAATGTTAGGAACTACTATCTTAGAAGTTTCGTAGCATTTGGCATGAGATTTGGTGGCCACTGTGATCCTATGTGAAAACCTTTGCAGAATCTTTAGGTGTTTTTCTTTCAAATATGTAGATTTTATGCATGAAACCTTTAACTTCTGTTCTCTAAGAGAGAGCTTCAAGTGGAGGAAGGGGCGAGCTGGCATGGCTGTGCTGCTCAGTGGTTCTGAACAAAGTTCAACCCCAAGCCAGTCCGAAGAGTAGTCCTTAGCAGCAAGACTTTCCTTCCACTCCCTACACGCTCTTTTCATCCCCACTGCCACTGCCAAATATTGCTTATGCTCAATAAACAAGCAGTGACTGAACCCATCAGGCCCGAGCACAAGGAGCTTGTCAGAGCCATCAGGGCAGGTGCCCTCCCAAAAGGAATATAATTAAAGGCTTGAAATAATAAAAATATCTTATCTTACCTTCAAGTCACTACAGTGCTCAGCCACTGAAATCCTGGCTGCATAGTCAGAAAAACATCATGCCCAGGGCTCTAGCGGGCCGCAGATCACCTGGGCTCTGTCCAATTTGCCTGGAGTGCAGCCCCAGCCTTCCTCCTCTGAAGAGGCTGGCCGTTTGGGACTGCTTTCCTTCTCTCCAGAGTAGCTGGAGCTACATTGCCTTTTCTGCACTTCCCAAGCTGCACTTCACCAGCTGGTATCTGTCAAGGAAAAAACAGGAAATAGGGAGAAGGGGACCAGAGAGGAGAAATCCTCTCTCTTGGAAAGATGCATTCACTATCAGCCATCAAACTCCCTAGCTCAACAGGAGGATCAGAGCATAATTTAGTTTGTCAGTTGTAGAGCTCCCTTGTCCTCAACGGAAAATGGAAGAACCACCAGGCCCAGTGGCTCACACCTATAATCCCAGCACTTTGGGAGTCGGAAGTGGGAAGATTGTTTGAACCCAGGAGTTTGACCAGCCCTGGCAATATAGGAAGACCTCATCTACAAAAAATTTAAAAACACTTAGCTGGGCATGGTGGTGCATGCTTGTACTCCCAGCTACTTGGGAGGCTGAGGTGGAAGGATTGCTTGAGCCCAGGAGGTCAAAGCTACAGCGAGCTATGATTGTACCACTGCCCTCCAGCCTAGGAGAGAGCGAGACATTGACTCTAAAAACAAAAAACAAAAACTTGGAATTTTTATTTAATAATTCATTAAAAATACCAATAAATCTGTTACACATTAACATAAAAAACATTTTTCTGAAAAATAACTATATTCTCAAAAACTCAGTTAGAAGCATGCTTTTTTTTTTTTTTTTTTTTTTTTTTTTTTGAGACATAGTCTCACTCAGCTGCCCAGGCTGGAGTACAATTGCTATCCTGGCTCACTGCAACCACTGTTTCCCGGGTTCAAGTGATTCTCCCACCTCAGCCTCCCAAGTAGCTGGGATTACAGGCACCCGCCATAATGCCCGGCTAATTTTTGTATTTTAGTAGAGACAGGGTTTCACCATTTTATCCAGGCTGGTCTTGAACTCTACAGGTGATCCACCCACCTTGGCCTCCCAAAGTGCTGGGTTTACAGGTGTGAGCCATCGGACCCGCCCAGAAGCATGCTACTGTTATACATTTTTCCAAACCTCTTTGATGTCTGTCTTGATAGAAGACAGCTGGATTCTCATATCTGCTCCTGCATTCAATCTGTTGCTATATGTTATTTTGCCTGAAGTATCAGGAAAAAAACCGGCCTCTAATAGATATGTAATTGGAAAAGAGAAGACTTCGTGAACTCCTAGGA